TCACCACCTCCGGAACCATGAGCCAAATACATTTCTGTTCATTAAAATTATTCAGTTTGTGGCATTCTGTTATAGCAGCAGAAAACAGACTAATACAGGCCATTATCTTGGACATAATGCTATTGCTCCTCTGTCTTTAGAAGAGGAGAAACCCCTGCCCAACTTGCCCTGGCTCCTTCCCCACGGGCTTCCTTTCTTTTCTTTTTTTCTTTTTTCTTTTTTCAGGGTCCTGCTCTGTCACTCAGCTTGGAGTGCAGTGGTGTGATTATGGCTCACTGCAGCCTCACCCTCCCAGGCTCAAGCAATCTTCCTGCTTCAGCCCCCCAAGTAGCTGGGACTACAGGTACATGCCACCACACCATCTCTTTAAAGCAAATCCCCATCTCTCTTTTTTTTTTTTTTAAATTCTTTTTTTTTGAGACGGAGTCTCGCTCTGTCACCCAGGCTGGAGTGCAGTGGCCGGATCTCGGCTCACAGCAAGCTCCGCCTCCCGGGTTCACGCCATTTCTCCTGCCTTAGCCTCCCAAGTAACTGGGACTACAGGTGCCCCGCCACCTCTGCGCCCGGCTAGTTTTTTGTATTTTTTAGTAGAGACGGGGGTTTCACCATGTTAGCCCAGGATGGTCTCGATCTCCTGACCATCGTGATCCGCCCGTCTCGGCCTCCCAAAGTGCTGGGATTACAGGGCTTGAGCCACCGCGCCCGGCCCCCATCTCTAAAAAAAAAAAAAAATTCCGGCAAGTTCCCAAAAAACAAACCTCGAATTTGTGCACTGAATCCACACAAGTAAAGTGATGTTATAGGCATTGGTACTAGAGTATTTTAAGTAATCAGAAATGATTTAAACTACATTTAAACCAGGTGGTGAGGAAAAGTGGCTCATGTCTGTAACCCCAGCACTTCGGGAGGCCCAGGCAGGAGGATCACTTGAGTCCAGGAGCTTGAGGCCGCATAGAAAGGGCAACATAGAAAGGCCCTGTCTCTACAAAAAAATGAACAAAATTAGCTGGGCATGGGTGGCACATGCCTGTGGTCCCAGCTACTTAGAAGGCTGAGAAGGGAGGATTGCTTGAGCCCAAGAGGTTGAGGCTGCAGTGAGCCAAGTTTTTTGGCCACTCCTCTCCAGCCTGGGCAAATAGAGCAAGACCCCATCTCAAAATGTTTTTAAAAGTATCTGGCCAGGCACAGTGGCTCACACCTGTAATCCCAGCACTTTGGGAAGCTGAGGCAGGCAGATCAACTGTCGGGAGTTTGAGACCAGCCCTGACGAACATGGAGAAATTCTGGTCTCTACTAAAAAATACAAAATTAACCAGGCATAGTGGCACAATGCCTGTAATCCCAGCTACTCAGGAGGCTGAGGCAGGAGAATCGCTTGAACCCAGGAGGCGGAGGTTTTGGTGAGCTGAGATTGTGCCATTGCACTCCAGCCTGGGCACAAGAGCGAAACTCCAACTCAAAAAAATAAAAATAAATAAAAATAAAAAGTATATGGCAGGATGTGTACAGGTTTCTGTGCAAGTAGCATGCTACTTTTTTTTTGAGATGGAGCCTCGCTGTGTCTCCCGAGCTGGAGTGCAGTGGCGCGATCTCAGCTCACTGCAAGCTCTGCCTCCCGGGTTCACACCATTCTCCTGCCTCAGCCTCCCGAGCAGCTGGGACTACAGGCGCCCGCTGCCACGCCCAGCTAGTTTTTTGCATTTTTTAGTAGAGACAGGGTTTCACCGTGTTAGCCAGGATGGTCTCGATCTCTTGACCTTGTGATCCTCCCGTCTCAGCCTCCCAAAGTGCTGGGATTACAGGTGTGAGCCACCGCGCCCGGCCTAGCATGCTACTTTACATCAGGGACTGGAGCCTCTGCAGATTTTGGTATCCATGGGGTCCTTGAACCAGTCCTCTGCAGGTGCTGAGGGCCAGCTACTCATGCAGCTGGGAAGGGCATGAGTCTTGGTGTTCCACAGATCGGGGCTTGAGTTCTAGCTTTGCCCCTTGTTGTGTGACCTTCAGTAAGTTATTTCACCTCTGTGAGCCTCAGTTTCCTCCTGTGTGAAGTGAAGATTATAATGGAACTCATGGTATAAGAGTTCCAGGGGATAAGGAGATGGTGTCTATGTGGCGAAGTGGAGCAGCACGGCCAGGGCCACCCAGGTCACAGTGCTGAGAGGCGAGCAGAGGCACAGGAGGACTGTGAGCATCAGGCCTGATGGCCCAGGGAGTCCCGGCAGTGGTGATGTGTGAAGGACAGACCTTTGGGGCTCCCTGCCTTGGGCATGAGCCCTCTGCCCTCAAAGGCCTCATTAGGAGCTAGTGTCACCCTTGACTTCCCCCAGCCCCACTCCCCACATCCAGTTGGCCACCCTGTCCTGTGGTTTGTACCTCCTAAATATCCCTCCAGTGTTTTCCTGTGTATCTGCAGTGGCCTCTGAGCTTCCACAGAGTAGCAGGAGGGCACGTGTCATTGCTGCTGACAGCGTACCACAGCTGCACAATGTCCCCAGCCTGGCCTGCAGTTCCCGCATGCTCCAGTCTGCCCACTGGCCTGCCCACCCTGTCTGGGCTGCTCTGACCCCTTCCAGATCCTCAGACGTGCCAAGCTTCGTCCTGCCACAGGGCCCTGGTGTAGCCTGTTCTCTCTGCTTGGAACACTCTCTTCTCTTCTGCCCTGCTCCTCCTGGCTTCTGCTGCTCACTCTCCCTGGCTCCCTTCAGGGAAGCCTGCCCTGGCCGCACCCCACCCTTTTGAGCTCTCATGTGCACAGCCACACCCCGCCCATGGCAGGACTCACCCCGCTGTGTATCTGTGGTCACAGGCACAAGGTTTTGACCGCATCTCATTTGCCTTGGCTCCGGGGCTGCAGCTCTGCAGCTCTGCAGCTTTCTCAGCGCCGTGTGTCCCCAGTGCTTGTAACCGATGATGAGCTCAACACAAGAGGCTTCAGGCACAGCCCTTGCCAGGCAGCGAAGGGGAGCATGAGGAGCAGGTGAGGTCACTAGACTGGCACACGGGCTCATTTCAGGAGACTCTTGAAGCTCTTCGAATCGGCACTTTAAATCTAGGTCAAATAGTACATCAATACCTTCTCTTAAGAAGGGAAAGACAGCCGGGCGCAATGGTCACGCCTGTAATCCCAGCACTTTGGGAGGCCGAGACAGGCGGATTACAAGGTCAGGAATTTGAGACCAGCCTGGCTAACATGGTGAAACCCCACCTCTACTAAAAATAAAAAAATTAGCTGGGCGTGGTGGTGGGTGCCTGTAGTTCCAGCTACTTGGGAGGCTGAGGCAGGAGAATCGCTTGAACTGGGGAGGCAGAGGTTGCAGTGAGCCAAGATCGCGCCATTGCACTCTAGCCTGGGTGACAAGAGTGAGACTCCATCTCAAAATAAATAAATAAATAAATAAATAGGCCGGGCGCGGTGGCTCAAGCCTGTAATCCCAGCACTTTGGGAGGCCGAGACGGGCGGATCACAAGGTCAGGAGATCGAGACCATCCTGGCTAACACGGTGAAACCCCGTCTCTACTAAAAAAAATACAAAAAACTAGCCGGGCGAGGTGGCGGACGCCTGTAGTCCCAGCTACTCGGGAGGCTGAGGCAGGAGAATGGCGTGAACCCGGGAGGTGGAGCTTGCAGTGAGCTGAGATCCGGCCACTGCATCCAGCTTGGGTGACAGAGCGAGACTCCGTCTCAAAAAAAAAAAAAAAAAAAAAAAAAAAAAAAAATAAATAAATAAATAAATAAATAAATAAATAAATAAATAAATTTTTTTTTTTTTTTTTTTGAGACGGAGTCTGGCTCTGTCGCCCAGGCTGGAGTGCAGTGGCGAGATCTCGGCTCACTGCAAGCTCCGCCTCCCGGGTTCACGCCATTCTCCTGCCTCAGCCTCCCGAGTAGCTGGGACTACAGGCGCCCACAACCGCGCCTGGCTAATTTTTTTGCATTTTTAGTAGAGACGGGGTTTCACCGTGGTCTCGATCTCCTGACCTTGTGATCTGCCCGCCTCGGCCTCCCAAAGTGCTGGGATTACAGGCGTGAGCCACCGCGCCCGGCCAATAAATTTATTTTAAGAAATAAAAGAAGGGAAAGACATTGTTGCTCATGTCCCGGCGCTCCCGTGGGGCGTGTCTGCACTTTTGGGGATGGGGAGAGTGATGCTGAATTGAAGTTTCTCTGAAATAAGTCAGGGAGTGGGAATGAGACTGTGTGTGTGTGTGTGTGTGTGTGTGTGTGTGTGAGAGAGAGATAGGATCCAAAGAGAGAGAGAGAGGCAGAAGATTCTGTCTTCCTAAGAGCCTTGGGACAGAACGGGAACTAGGTGTCAGGAGAGAGAAGGTGAAAGGGGAGGCGCAGTCCTGCCAGCCGCCTCTCGTCCCTGGGGCCTCTGTTCCTATTCCTCCCTGTATGCTCTCACCTGCAAGTGAGGCACAGCACATCTAAGACCAGACAGCCCTTCCCTGCTCCAGCCCTGGACTACCTTGGATTCAACATGGTGGTTCCTGTCCCACCTTATGTGAGGAAAACACAGGTTAGAGGAGACATGTGTGGATAGGTGTCAGCCAGGAAACAGAGACACACACTGGTGCCAATGCCCGTGGGCATAACCACTCGGCTCCCTGGCCTTGTGCCCATAGGTACGAGGTTGTGCATACACCACCAGGGTGTCCACAGAGGCCAGGAAGTTGCAGGTTAAGACGGGGGTCAGAAAGTGGAGACTGTACACAATCATGGTGACCCCTAGAGCTTTGCCAGGCTGAGGTGACACTGCAGAATGAGTTGCAGCCCTCCTGGTCTTCCTAGGTGCCCGGCCTTTTTGGGCCCCACTTGTGCCCAAGGCCGTTCAGGATAGTGACACCAGCTGTAGCCAATAAAGAATGGAAGATGGATATCTGCCCAAGAGTGTCACTATGCCGTGATGAGCCAAGGCCCCAAAAGACACCCTCCTGGCCGAAGATCACGTTTCTACTCACTTTTAAAAACCTTTTATTTTAGAATGATTTGATATTTGTAGAAAAGTTACAAAGACGGCCGGGCGCGGTGGCTCAAGCCTGTAATCCCAGCACTTTGGGAGGCCGAGACGGGCGGATCACGAGGTCAGTAGATCGAGACCATCCTGGCTGACACGGTGAAACCCCGTCTCTACTAAGAAATACAAAAAACTAGCCGGGCGAGGTGGCGGGCGCCTGTAGTCCCAGCTACTCGGGAGGCTGAGGCAGGAGAATGGCGTGAACCCGGGAGGCGGAGCTTGCAGTGAGCTGAGATCCGGCCACTGCACTCCAGCCTGGGCGGCAGAGCGAGACTCCGTCTCAAAAAAAAATAAATAAATAAATAAATAAATAAAAGTTACAAAGACAGTACAGAAAGTTCCTCTAGATGCCCCCCGACCCAGTTCCCCCACTGTTAACTTCTTACATCACCACGGCACACTTGTCATTACTGAGAAACCAATGCTGAAGCAGGCAGTGTGATGCTTCCAGCTTTATTTTTAATTTCTCCAGGTTGCTTTGGCTATTCAGAGATTTTTGTGGCTCCCTGTGAATTTGAGAACTTTTTTTCTATTTCTATGAAAACTGCCATCGGAATTTTAATAGGGATTGCGTTGAATCTGTAGATCATTTTGGGTAGTATTGTCCATTTTAACAATATTAATTCATCCAATCCATGAACATAGGATATCTTTCCATTTATTCGTGTCTTCAACTTTTTCATCACTTTCTTTTTGTTTTGTTTTGTTTTGTTTGATTTTGAGATGCAGTTTCACTCTTGTTGCCCAGGCTGGAATGCAGTGGTGTCATCTCAGCTCACTGCAACCTCTGCCTCCCGGGTTCAAATGATTCTCCTGACTCAGCCTCCCCAGTAGCTGGGATTACAGGTTTCCACCACCATACTCAGCTAATTTTTTGTATTTTTAGTAGAGATGGGGTTTCACCATGTTAGCCAGGCTGGTCTCAAACTCCTGACCTCAGGTGATCCACCCACCTCAGCCTTCCAAAGTGCCGGGATTACAGGCGTGAGGCATCAGGCCCGACTTCATCAATGTTTTATAGTTTCCAGTATACAGGTCTTTCATCTCTTTGGTTAAATTGATTCCTAAGTACTTTATTATTTTGGATGCCTTTATAAATGGTATTTTTTTTTTTTTTGCTTTCCTTTTCAGCTGTCTCATTATTAATATAAAGAAATAGAACTGATTTTTTTTTTTTAAGAGAGAGAGACAGGGTCTTGCTGTGTGGCCCAACCTGGTCTCAAACTGGCCTTAAGCAATCCTCCTGCCTCAGCCTCCCAAAGTGCTGGGATTACAGGTGCGAGCCACTATGCCCAGCCAGAACTGATTTTTGTATGCTGATTTTGAATCCTGTGAATTTATTCTGAATTTGTTTGCTAGTTCAACCAACAATTGTTTTGTGGAGTCTTCAGGGTTTTCTACTAATAGACTCATGTCATAGCAAACAGAGATAATTTTACTTCTTCCTTTCTAATTGAGATTGCTTTTATTTATTTTTTCTTGTCTGATTCCTCTTGCTAGTACTTCCAGAGCTATGTTGAATAGAAGAGGCAAGAGTGAGCGTATTGTCTTGTTCCTGACTTTAAAGCAAAAGCTTTCAGTTTAGCTGAAAGTTAGCTGTTTTGGTTTAACTGTTGGCTTTTCATAAATGGCCTTTATTATATTGAGGGAATTTCCTTGTATATCTAAACTGTTGAAAGTTTTTATCAAGAAAGGATGTTGAGGCTGGGTGTGCTGGCTCATGCCTGTAATCCCAGCACTTTCGGGGGCCAAGGCGGCTGGATCCCTTGAGCCCAGGAGCTCAAGACCAGGCTGGGCAACATGGTGAAAACCCATCTCTACAAAAAATACAAAAATTAGCCAGGTGTGGGCCGGGCGCAGTGGCTCAAGCCTGTAATCCCAGCACTTTGGGAGGCCGAGGCGGGTGGATCACAAGGTCAGGAGATCGAGACTATCCTGGCTAACATGGTGAAACCCCGTCTCTACTAAAAATACAAAAAACTAGCCGGGCGTGGTGGCGGGCGCCTGTAGTCTCAGCTACTTGGGAGGCTGAGGTGGGAGAATGGCGTGAACCCGGGAGGCGGAGCTTGCAGTGAGCCGAGATCACGCCACTGCACTCCAGCCTGGGAGACACAGCGAGACTCCATCTCAAAAAAAAAAAAAAAAAAAAAAAAAAAAAAAAAAATTAGCCAGGTGTGGTGACACATGCCTGTAGTCTCTGCTACTTGAGAGGCTGAGGCGGGAGGATTGCTTTAGCATGGGAGGCAGAGGCTGCAGCGAGTCATAATTGTGCCATAGCCCTCCAGCCTGGGTAACAGAGTGGCCCTATCTAAAAAAAAAAAAATATATATATATATAGAGAGAGAATATATAGAGTATATATATACTATACTGTATAAACACTATAGTGTATTTACTATATACTATTATTTACTATATACCATACATACTACATACACTATAGTGTACTTACTATATATAGTATACTAAAGCTATAGTGATCAAAGTAGGATGGTCCAGACACATAGACCAGTGGAAAGTCAGCCCAGAAATAAACCCAAGCAGATACAGTCAACTAATTTTCAATAAGGGTGCCAAGAGAACTGTATTAGTCTGTTCACACACTGCTATCATGTGCAAGAACCTGAGACAGGGTAATTTCTAAACAGGCGTAATCGGCTCACGGTTCTGCGGGCTGTACAGGCTTCTGCTTCTGGGAATACCTCAGGAAACTTACAATCATGGCTGAGGTGAAGGAGAAGCAGTCACGTCTACCTGGCAGGAGGAGGAAGAGAGAGTGAAGGGAGAGGCGCTACACACTTTCAAACAACCAGATCTCGTGAGAACTCTATCACAAGACAGCACTGGGGGGACGGTGCTAAACCATTAGAAACACTCCCCCATGATCTGATCACCTCCCGCCAGCCCCCACCTCCAACAATGGGGATTACCATTCAACATGGGATTTGGGTGAGGACCAGAGCCAAGCCATATGAAGGACACAATGGGGAAAGTACAGTCTCTTCAATAAATGATGTTGAGAAGACTGGAT